CAGAATGTTTTTCATTTGTCATCTGTCACCAATGGTCAAAGAGTATTCAAAGGATCCGGACCTAAAACGATTTATCGCCGGATGCTGTCAAAGGACACGAGAAGAACCTCTCGTTTCCTACTTCGAATAGCGTCGAAATGTTGGAGCACCTTTTTACGATCCTTGGACGAACTCATTGACACAAATTACAAAATTATCTCGATAAAATAACAATTTTTAGTCTCCAACTTTGCTATAATAGTTTCCAGAATACTTCTTGTTAAAATGATGCCAATGAAGTTTGGAAAACTAATATTAGATCCTTGTTTTGGTTTAATTGAATTTAATGAGAAACCTCTATCATGTGTTTCGACCTTTGAAAGTGACTCCTTAATAATATAATAATTGTTGTATTGTAGTTCCTTTTGTCTACTATTGGAACATAACCTCTCGCCACTTGAATTGTCATAAACTACCCGTATACCCTCTAAAGAAACAAGAGCCTCCCTTAATTTTACTAAATTTCTGGAACACTGACAGTGTTAGGGTGGGCCAAAGGGGTAACCACGAAATTTCTAATTTGGGTTCGCATGTTTGCGTCCATCCAGAAAGCATTTATTCGAGCCTGTGAAAGATATATCGTCAGAAAAGCTGTAAGGAAAAATAAAAGGGAAACCAGAAGTATACATATTTAGGATCCGCGAGGCCGCCTTAGCTTTGTACTTTAAGATTGAATGACGTTAACGGATTTCCACAAAAAGGAGTGTCACATAAATATATTTTTCGGTCTTAGTTTTAGACAAGATTTGAGTGTGAGGGGTTAGAAATTTAAAATATTTTGAGGACCATTAAACTCTGATAATAACACAAAAAAAACGTTTTAGGAATTGAATTTTTTATACTCTATATATGTAAATGTTGTCTTATTCAAGGGTTTATCCAATATCCAAACAGTTTTAGGATTAGAAAATACAACAAATGGCGCTGTAAACGCCATCTGTAATACAATGCTACATTTTAGGATTACGTATGCTCCAACAAGGTCCACTTGTGTATATCTACTTGCTGAAACGAATCCCGGCGTAGCTCATCTCAACGGCGTAGGCACGTTACCATAATCGAATAAAATAATTCGAAGGGTCTGTATTGTGTCGAAACTGCCAGACGCGGATCGCGATTTCGATCTTTTTGGATCTCTGTAAACGCCATCTGTACTACAGCGCCATCTGTACTACAGCGCCATTTGTCGTATTTTCTAAAACGCGCTGTTAAGGCAGCAGGTAAAAGTTGGTCTGTATTCTGTTGAAGCTGCCTGCGACGCGCTGATGAGATCCAAAAAGATCGAAATCGCGATCCGCGTCTGGCAGTTTCGACACAAGACAGACCACTTCGAATTATTTTATTCAGTTTTAGGATACCTTTTAGTTTCAGGTCTCTAAAGCATCATAGATTTTAAACTGCAAAATTAATTACTTATGGGAAAACTTCTCGGTCGAATCTGCTCATTAAATGATTAATTTTTTTATAGTTGAATGTTTATGAAATTACTAGCAGTTAGATGCAATCAGAATGGCGTAAAGAGACTAAACTTTTTGACTTTCCAATGTATTTGTCATGCAACTCCATTTGCATTACTTCATTTCATTATTAAAAAAATTCTTTGTCGTGTCTTCTGTGTTCCTGTTATTTCGCTGGCTGACCATCGCAGTGATTAAAGGGACATTTAATTTTGCCCTACTGTGTAAACTATTGTGATGTAACTCTGAACTCAGCCCTTGTTGAGTTAATTTTCCCTCTGTGGAACATTTTTCGATGACTACCAGGACTCAGCCCTCATTCAGTTCATATTTTTTTGACAAACAGAAGCGTTTGTAGGTACTTGTATTGAAGAGAGTCGAGTCGCTTCTGCCACGTCAACTGTAGTAGAATTAAGATGAGGTCTATTCCCACTTTCGCTTTGAATCATATAGTATCTACATGTACAGGGCGCTTCAGGAGGAAAGACATATTTTGGATGGTGGTTTCTAGGAATTCAAAAGAAGAGAATCCTTCATGGTTGGATTTGGATTTCCAAATTATGTTACGCATTGTCTTTAAATCGTTATAGATTTTTTAAACTTCAAATTTCGTGGAAAGCGATGAGATTTTTCTTGCACTTTTGGTCGTCCAAAAATTGCTTTCGGTTTTGTAATCAAAGCAATTTTACATAATAAGCCACTTACTTTCTAACGTCAGCCCCCTTTCCATTGGAACCCCTTTCGGGGTGAAAGCACGTTCTGTAACAGTCTAAATAAGTCTATAGATTCAGTAGGTAGTAAATAATCAACCGCAGCAACGAAGCCCCACACTCAAGAGTTCCTCTTTACCACTTTAGAACTTTAAAAAGATGGATAAGACTTTTTTGAATCTATTGATCCATCTTGTTCGCAGACTGACGTATTTAATTAAGGTGGTGGTCGAGTCAATCTCTCGACGTTAATCCTTGTACTGCTTGGTTAAAAAAGTTAGACAGATTCGGTTACTGTTACCTAATTAAATTTTTCTTCGCATTTCTCAAAAGTTTAGCCTGTTAATTAAAAGAGGAAGAGTACCTAACTAATCACAGGCTCATCAAATAGCTACCGGGGAAATTAAACACAGACTATTCTATAAATGGACCTTTTCAATGTATCTACCTATCAAAAAAATACGAAAACCAATTTGCTCGCTTCCAGCCATAGATATACGTCTATGGTCTTCAGGGCAATGGGATTTATGTGATCCTAATCAAAGGATTTTATAGATTTCAAACGTAGTAATTCTGTTAACATACATTTTGGGATGGAAGACCTTTGAAGTCTATCCCGACTAGAATTTATAGTGTGCGGGCCTCATGTGGTTAATGAGGGGCATGCCGATATAGGAATTTCCTCGTAGATTCCTCATGAAAATCCCACCAAAAAAGTGGTGATACTAAAATGAGAATTACCTTATGGGTTGGCATGNGGAAGACCTTTGAAGTCTATCCCGACTAGAATTTATAGTGTGCGGGCCTCATGTGGTTAATGAGGGGCATGCCGATATAGGAATTTCCTCGTAGATTCCTCATGAAAATCCCACCAAAAAAGTGGTGATACTAAAATGAGAATTACCTTATGGGTTGGCATGCCCCATGTAGTGTAAATTTTTAATGGGGTAGCAATAACTTTTTCCTGCGGGGACAACATGCGCCATTCCTGATGATGCGCAAATGCAGCAAGGCCTTATATGCCCCTTCCTTGCCCTAGGGAGCAAACTCATGGGGCCCACAAGAGGTAGTTTGGATACCCACTCAAGGACCTTACTTGCACCCGCCTCAAAATTCTAGTCGGGATAGAAAACTGTCAAAAATCCTATAGAATCCCATGTACTTATATATCTGTCGGAAATTTGACGTTGTAATTCTAGAATAATTTTTTTCTTTGATAAAAAAAATGGAATTTGGCGTGCACATCCCTGTGGTCGTTTGTACAGAAAAAAATTCGCTTTTTCAGTGTATCTGTCACTCTCTAGACTGACTAGACATTCGATTTATTTCTGAAATTGCGGTGTCATTGAAATAATTTAGAACGTAGAATGAGAATAGAGAAAATCCTATTACGTTTGAGTGTCGTTTGTCTCTGCGCTGCATCTAAATCTTTCTATATTTCACTCTTTCGAAATCTTGCGTTTACTTGATAAGAGGCAGCCAGAGTCCCGGAAAATGCCGGAAAATTAAATACTCAACGTTGCAAAAGGTACATCGACTCTGGTGACTCTGACACATTATCGCAATTTTCGCTCACAGTTAATTCTTTTACGGAATGACAGCAATTTGTTAGACACTGTATTTAAATGAAAGTCAGAACGATAAGAATAAATCGTGCCGCTTAAGTTCACGGGGCTGGAATCTTTTTCATTACCAAGCTAATTTTACTGACTCCAAAATACCTGATCTACTTCAGTGATATACTTTTAAGCAACTCGCCGAGATATTGCATTTTCAAGAACTCCAAAGAAAGAGAACTTTATCAATTTCCCCAGCGAACTTCTCGAAATTTTCCGGCTCTCATGAAAATTCCGCACGATTACAAACCATCGCAATTTAATATTTTTGCTCATAATCTATTATATTCAAGTATTATACCAGAAAACTGCATTACGAGTTGGCACTTGCATTACAACTTAGATTACAACGTAATACTTCTTGTGGTCAATTTAATATTCTTAGAAATAGAAACTAACTCCTAAATAGGTTGTTATAAAATTTCTGCAATAAGGAAGAATTTGTACTCTCTTCCTTAGAACGCCACACAAGTTTCATACACTACACGAGTCAAATAAACATCACAGTGTAGTGCTACATCCGGTACATAAATATTTGTTTATTAAACAAACTATAGCTATAATTTATCTAGTTCATCTAACACAGAAAGTACCCCAGTTAACGAGCCATCAGTGGTTGATAACATTGGTGATCTTCGCAACAGCTGATACGTAGACAAGTCTATTGTACGTAACGATTAGTAATAATGCACCGGCGCCAACACGCGAATAGGCGTCATCATTGCCGGAACAGTTGGGCCTTTCGGGGTCATTACCCTCAACTTTATGTATATCACTGAATGCTCAATGTTTTTCCTATTGTATAGGCTTTAGGCCCTCTTTGTCCATTGGGGATTCGTATTCACAGACACGAAAATATCAACATTCGAGTTTTGATATGCGTTAAATTTGTTTAATGGTTTTAGCAAAATTTTGAGTAATATTTAAAAAATTAATATAATTTCCATTCCGACTAACATTTGTTTTAAAACACGGTGCATTCAATTATTACTGCCAACAATTTTAGTCAGAGCGTGACATCGCCTTGACAGAGCATACTACAATTGTTTATTTGCAGATGAATGTTTACGTACATTTCCTTCCATGTCATGTTCACTACTGTTGAAGTCATGAAGTTTGTTTTTGAGGTAACACATTCTAGTACCTAGTGTGTCTTACGCGATTTGTTATTGTTTCAGGTTTGCCATCCATGAGAGACAGTCTAACCCATCCAGTACACGTCTACGAAGGCGACGATGCACTCATAACTTGCGTCGTCCGGAACATCGGCGACAATACCGTGATGTGGAAGAAGGAAGATAGGGAAAGGCACAGTATGCGAGTTTTGACAGCAGGAGAAACGCGAGTTACCGCCGACAAACGCTTTTCCGTTCTGCATGATTCATGTAAGCAGCGGGACGATTGTTGCTGTCGAAGCAAACAATTTAAATTCATAATTAAGTGAAAACCGTCGTTTGTCTTTTACTACTGCATAGGAGACTTGTTCTCGAGACTTTAACATTGTTCTCATTCTCTGCAGTACCTATAATAATTTCATTATTTTGACGTGACAACGTCTTATAATTCGATGGAGCCGGCTGCACGCACGAAAAAACATGACTCATGCGGCGTTACCTCGCTCTGAGGCGTTCCATTTAAGGCTTGAAGTGCAAGCGAGAGCGCGGAACGAGCGACAAAGAGGCACAATCGGCCTCCGCGTTCGGCAGCGTTCGACATCTGTCTCTCTCCTACTTGAGTTAGAGATGCGTCCGCGTGGACAGCTGCTATACAATAATACATTTCCATTTACCTCCTTCTCTATATCCATACAAAATATCTATCAAACAAATAAAATTAATATTTTCTTTTGAAAAATGAAACCATTCCATCAGTATTTTCTTATGACGTTGTCACGTTCAACTATCGTCAGTAAACCGACTTTACAGACAACCAATTTTTTTTATTCTACAGCTTAACACAATGGGTGTGTTGAAAAAAGTTTTGCCAATACTTTATTTCTTCTTCTCTCATTCTTTAATAAGGATTAGCAAACACACAGAGAAAAATATTCTTTATTCTAAAACCTTTTCACCCTTTGTATTGCGAAAATATCCCCAAGAAATAATTTTCCTTGATTTGTTGTCTAGTATACATACCTACCTAACAACTTGGTCAGATTTTTGTAAACAAAAACAAATACCGGTACTAATTGATGTGCTTCCAACTCTGTATTGTAACCAATTGTATAAAGCAATGTAAACATCAACAATTAGACAGTGGCGTTTGCGATACTGATGATTAGACAGTTCTGAAATGGGGTTTCACCGGCTTCTAATTATCTACATTTAATGGAAAGGTACCAATCAACTGGCCAATTGTATGGCAATGGACGACAAATGAATGAGCAAAATTTGGTAGTATTATGCTTGAGACCAATAAGTTTTAGAATCTGAACTGAAGCGATTTAATTGAATAATAAACTATCTAATAATTAGTAATTCTCAAGCTCTCTATGATATAGTTTCTTCCTTTTCAAATAGTTTACCCCGTTTTTTGGCTTCATAACATTTGGTTGCTCTTGTTGGACACTTGAATGATGTATGAGAAGGATCTTTCTTATTTAAACTCAACTTTCTTGACGTTGACACTTTCATGGTTAGCCGTGCTTAAGTCCAGATGTTACGTTGTTTGTTGTTGTTCAGATTCGAAGTTGCTGAAACTCTGAACATGGACATTGGCCGTAAAACGATCCCTATGTTTTATTGATCGCCGTTTCTTGTCCTTTGTAATTTGTATTTTTACCAGAAATACTTTAGAAATCATCACGGTAATCAGCTTGTCCATTATCTAATTTCATTTATCTCTCAGAATTTTTGCCGTCTTCTTCCTGTCCACTTATTACAGTCATTTATCCATCCTCAAAAACCATTTTAGTTGAAATGATTACGTCGAATGTTTCCACTTCTTCCATCAATCAATGAAGGTTAAGTGCGTCACTGAACTTTCCGTTCAAATATTTGTCTCACGTTGATTCTTTCGTTTGCATACCACAATTCGGTTATCAAACAAAATCCAGCAACGAGGGAATTAAATCGATGGAGTCTTGGGGAAGGAAATTTTCAATTTTTTACGAATCGTTACCTAAATTTGAATAAGCGTTTGAGAGAGAGAGCGTTATTTGCTGACGAAATTGGATTTGTCTTGATGTTATTTGTACAGGGATTTTAAGGGGTGTTTCGGAAATATAGTCGAAAACGCTGTAGTAATACGACGAATCGCAGTTGTGTGCATAAGCCATATGCTACTCTAGATCCCATCAACTTAAGAAGATGATCTTGTCTTTAAGTCATTGTTCGTAGAAGTTTGTGTGTATTGCAACACTTGATAGCTCTTTCTACACAATATATGTATAAAAAAATCGTTCTTCTCTTGTGAAATACCAGCTTTCTCAGACAGGGTAAATCTCAGCTGTGTATTATTTATGATTATTTTTACATTTGAAACGAATAAAAAGGTATCTATTCCTGACCGCTATAGTATACGGAACATCAATATGATGGACGGGCTTGACTTGACTTGACTGCCCGATCTGGATTGCGATTTCGAATCCTTTGGTTTTCATCAGCACGCCGTGGATAGCTCCGGCATAAAATGCCAATTCCCTGGCTAATACTGGTCGGTGGGCAGTACTACTGAACTACGCCAGAGGATAGAGCTCAAAGTCTTCGTTAATCCCTTTTTAGGATTTTTTTTACTTTTAGGAATTGTGGGAATGGGTAGTTGATGATTGAGGAGAGGAAAATGAGAGACACGATATGAAGACAGAAGAGAATTGGTAGATTATCTATGGATTAGTATTTAAATGACATCAAAAATATTTTTAATAGAATCCACCTGTTATAGAAGCACTCGGCCTTTTCAAATGAAACTTTTTCCGAGTCGCCTTGGCTTTTTCCTCTTCTTGCGAGGAGCACTATTTTCTGAAATGTGTTAGGTTAGCACAGCTTGTGACGTCTACGATTCTAATAATGCAGGAATCTGTACGATACAAACCGCGGAAGCGGTGAAGTCGAGAAGATATTGAAAAATGTGGCGATCCACTCACTGCTCTGGTCACACTGCTTTTGTTCAGAGATCCATTTCTCACCGCAGACTGGGATATGAGAAAATGCGGTTATAAAATCATGAGCTTTTTATTATACGTATATATGTATGTGTGTGGAAAGCCCAAGCCCGAACATCGGGCAACCGTTTGATAATAATAAAGTCCTTTAGACGGTAAAACGACTTCCACATAAGACACGGTGATATTACGACTCTTTTAAATTCTGATTTCCTCTCTAATACTCGAAATCTCCTCGTTTTTTTACTATAAAAGCTACTTCGGATTTGTACTTGGCACTGACCTTTATTGTGATTGAGATTTTTCCAAACGAAAATAAAACTATGAAAGATGAGATGATGTTATTTGTTCAAAGAAGAAAAACAATTGCGAAAATTAAATAATAAAGAATTCTTATGATTCAAGTAAGTAAACTAAACAAAAATAAAGTTTAAGCAAGTAAAACTTATTGAGTTTTGCTTTCTCGTACGTTAAGTAGTTCAAATGAACCAAATTTTAAAAATAGCATCATATACAGCTATTGTTGATAGAGTTATTAATATATTTGCGTGGCAGAAAGTACAGATTACACTACCTGTTGATTTCGTTTACCATTTCATTCTTCAATTCCTTTCTGTTTATCATTGCAATCGATTCGCAAAACACTTGTAATTAGTTGTAGTGCTTTTAATGCCATAACCGTTGGATCTTTATCTCACGTTTTGGCACTAACTTTAGTAGTTTTCAAAAATTTTCTCTTCAAATTTTATCAGAGAATCTAAAAGTAGAATAGAACTATAGATTCAAAAAGTTCGCTTCATCTCAAAATTCCAGATCGAGTTAAGAATTTTTCATATTTAGATTTCTTTTGTCTTATGCCAAGATAAATTTGAGTTCCGTTTGTCTAGTTGCAGAAAAATGCAGATGTTGTAATTTTCTTTGTTCGGGATCATAATTTATGGAAGTGGAATTTGCATGTTTGAAACAAAGAATATTTTAGCAATGAACGGGCATTTTCCTGCGGCAAAAGAATTAACTTTATGTCGTTGTGAAGGGCGTCGAGCATTTGAAATTCCGCGGTGCACAAAGCTAAGACCATAAATACAAGTTGCACGTACCCATTGCACATCATTTGTTATGTGGCGCTGGCCACAGGAAATCTGCACCGCACCGACACGCTTTATATCGGCCAACAAAACTCCTCCATCCACCAGGACGCGGCCCTGGTCGTAGATTGGATCGTAAATCAGAAATTCCATTCTATTCTCTAACATCAATTGGACAAAAGACAGTGACCAAGATCCGCTCCCCTAATGGTCAATATGTTCTTCATCTAATACATAAAACATCCCAGAAAATCGCTTATTTATTATCGACTTGTCAGTAGTTTAGGTTGCACAACGCGGTGATTGAAAATTCTTATCTGACTTGATTATGCCCTTCAATCAAATGATTCTTTTTTCGTTACAAAAATTTCTGAGGAAATATAAGGAAATTTTGAAATCCTTCAAGCTACGCCATGGATTCAGTTCAGAAAGTAGATATTCATCCATGTACGTAAGTGGACCTTGTTGAACATATTAAATTCCAAACTGTAGCATTGTACTACAGATGGTGTTTGCCGCATCGTTTGTAGGATTTCATAAAATCCTGTGTCAAGGCAGCGAGCACCATGAACTTCTTTGTTCGATTTTGGTAACGTGCCCAACACATGTTATGAGCTACGCCATGGATTCAGTTCGGAAAGTAGATATCCACCTATGTAAATAGATCTTGTTGAACATATTGAATTCCAAACTGTAGCATTGTACTACAGATGGTGTTTAGCGCATCGTTTGTAGGATTTCATAAAACCCTGCGTCAAGGCAGCAGGCACCCTAAACTTCTTTTTTTGATTTTGGAAAGGTGCCCAATACGTAATAACGCTTATTTTTGACGGCTACCTCCTTGCCGCTGTAACATATGCAATAAGGAACCTTCTTCCTTCTTCTTGGATGAAGTACCTACCCTTTAGGGAGGATTAAAATGAATTATGCAATTAAGTGCTTAATTAAATTGTTTATCTCGTGATCATAGTTGCGCTTAAACTATTACGAGGTCACAGGCCAAGATCAATTTCTATTTGTTAAAGTAGTTCCTGATGCGATGGAGAACGTACGTATTACGTTCAGCTCATTGTTTGCCATCCATTGCTCGTTTTGAGAACATGTATAATAAATAAATGATACAACCCATTTGGTATTTTCCTTTTTTATTGATATCAATTTGTGCAGCGTAATTTTGAGAATTGGATAGAGTCACTTTTGCTACTTTATTGGAAGGACGAATTCAATTAGTGTGAGAGGAACCGTTTACAGGAGTTGTGGTACCATTCGTTTCGTATGTTTCAGCTACTTCTGGCGAGGAGCCATCAGTTCCGTCCGGTGGTGATGTGTGGGTTCTGGTCGTAAGGAACACAAAACCAACTGACTCGGGAATTTACGTTTGCGAGGTCAATAGCAATCCCATAGTTCGAAGCTTTCACAAATTGAGCGGTAAGTCAACATCACTCAAGCCCATCCGAAACCGATGCTCGGAGATTACGCCAACAATTCAATAAAATTCGTAACTCCGTTCAAAACGGTTCAATTTATTCACTATAATAAATGGAAGTTTCATATGGACGCGGAGCCGAGAACGGCATTTTTTTTTACTGCACGGAAAACTCAAACTTTTCAAACGCAAAATAAATACAATTACTGCATGACGATTTTGTCAAGTGCCCTTAAAGCGTTTCCTCCAATATTTCAGTTCTGTCGAAAGCTTTGCAGCCGCCTTCTAATAGTACCGACGTGAACTTTTACGAAAGCCAAAAGGAAACATTTAGCAGCAAAAACCACAATTACACAGACTGCTGCGTAGCCCAGGCCGTGTCACCCAATTGCCTAGGTTTCTGCAATATTCAAAGCATACTTGAAGGTAATTGTTGAGTCTGTTAAATTAATTTTCTAAAATGTATTTTTAACTATGGTCGCATAGCCTTCATTCCTCGGTTTTGAGGATTGACGAAGTCACATAGTCAATGCCAAAATGTTGAATTTCAACTTCGACTCCATTCTTGATTAAAGTAAATAGTGAAAACTAGAATTAATGAAATCAGCTGTAAATGTACTTATTATTTTTCTAACGAAATAATTTGTTCTTGAGCAGCAATGCAATGATATCTTGACATCAATGGAATATTACTCATAAACCGATGAAACCTATCAAAGACTGAATACAGTAAGATTTTGTTTCTGCATTTGACTGCTCAAACTAGTCGCTCTTAAGATAGACCAAAATATTTTGGCATATACGATAAAATCAAAACCACTCATCAATTTTAATTTTATTTTGAAGAGCTACAGTTCAGTATTTTATGATTATTTACGTCAATCCTTTTTAACCTGAGGCTTGGTCTTTCTCATGATAAAAATATCATTAAAGGTAATAAATCGTAAGGTTTTGTGCATACCGTACGTTTTACCTTATAGGTAATACTGGACAGGATCCAGAGCATTGTGAGTCTGACTTTCCTTCAATTGTAAAGTGTATGGCAGACGGAAGGAATCACATTCCATGCTGTATTCAAGAAAGAGTTCCAGATATTTGTCAGGACGTCTGTAGAGGCGAATATACTGCAATTACGGACAATATCAAAAGTCACTTTTCTTGTTCCGCATACACCGAGCAGACCTTAGCCTGTATAGTGGAAGGAATTGGTATGATATTGCCAAAAATATGGAACATACAATTTATAATAACTTATAAAAATTATTTATTAATTTCGTAGAACTTCTTCCCAATCCTCCTGAAGTAGTGGATGTGGAAGCTTTGAGCGAAAAATCTATCAAAGTGTCATGGTCAATTCCGACTGCTAACACCGAATCAATAACAGAATATTCCGTTAATGTTACATCACTACAAACATTCGACGAACATCTAATCGATCCGAACGAAGCCCATCCAACCGAATCCACCACGAAAACTTCTCAAACGATAAACCTGAAGGTTCAAGCTAATACCAACGAAACAACAATTGCCAATTTGACTCCCTTCACAATGTACGAAATCACTGTGACTGCCCTTAATATCCACGGGTCATCTTTACCATCATATGCTGTAAGAACTCTTACACTGACTCCCGGTAACATGAAACAAACGGACGTAGCTGATGCTCCAAAGCTGCCAGACATCAAGGGCTGTTGTGCCAAAAAAGGGGTTACACATTCCACGTGCATCAATAAACTGTGCGATCCAGCTGAAGCTGACGACGCTCAGATAACTGATTTGATGATATGCGCTCCTTGGGCTGCAGATACGTTCAGTTGTTTGACCAATGGGATTGATCATACTCCATGCTGCAGGGCCAGAGGCCTTCCTCCACTCTGCCAACAACTTTGTGCTGGCAATATTAGTACCATTGATTTCAACTACTTCAAGTAAGTTCTGCTTCCTTGGATTTCTGGATTAGTATCCATAATAGTCGAAAAAGTTTATCCGATTTTGTTGAATATTAAAAATTACAGCACATATTTGCAAACTATAGTACTTCTTTCTTCTATCGTCCTTCATTGCGTTTTTCATTATTAAGGTAAACAATATACACTGTTGAAATGCTTCGATTTTCTGCACAACTAAAATCTGAATAAAATTGAAAGGAATTAACAGAATGCATTTCGTCAAAACCTTCAGTAAATCGAAAACTCATTACGATTAAATGCTCTTGAAAGTTAAAATTGTTTACCAAACTATGAGGCACTAATTTCGAAGACGTTCCAATTCAAAAAAGTTACCCAAATTCGTTTTAATTTAGTCGCGGATGAAGTTAAAATTAACGACGAACGAAGTAAACATAATTAAAATTCTGTCGTTGCTTATTCATAAATTTGTTCATTATTATTTTTTCAGATGTCTCAGATACATGAGTGAGTACACAAACTGCTTGCTACAAGGTTACGGCGTTTTGCCAAGTGCTCCAGTCCAAGTGCGCGTAACCAATATAGACACTGAATTTGCAATATTACATTGGTCGCCACCCAGAACCTTGGGGGACACCGTTAAACATTATAACGTACATTACAGAACGTTTACTAACTACGACAGCGACTATCAAACGATTACAAGGGTTCACAGTCCATATATCCTTGAAGGACTCGAAAGTGATACGGACTATGAATTTTACATTGATGCAACAAACGTTCACGGTGTGAGCGAACCCAGTGCTAGAATAGCTTTCAGAACTGAAAGTAAGGTAGGTGGATCCAAAATTAAGGTTTGCACACTGGTCTGAGATCGTTGGTCATGTTTTCTTTCCAATATTTTTTTGATTTCGATGCCTTCAACCAAAATTTGTAGCTGATGGTGTGTTTGTAGATCTCCCCAGGATTTAGTAAACAATTTTTAACTATTTCATTAGGATGATTTTGGGTACGGAAGCACATTGCTCCGTGAGGTTTGTAATTTGCTTCGTTTTTCCCTAGTGGCGGGGGCTCTTCCTTTTCAAGTAAAGTGGGCGGCATTTCTTCCGATTGTTCCATTTCTGTTTCCTCTTCTTCTTCCTCTTGTTCTTCTTCCTCTTCTTCTTCCTCTTGTTTCTGTCTATAAGATAAACTTCCAGCGACTTCCATCATATGTTGGAGTTCTTGTTGGACGTAGTATCTATTCAGTACATTCTGCACTGTTTCTCGTAGAGTCTCGTAATTTGTTTCGCTGTATGTCGATGCAATATAGAACTCAACGTCTTGAAGGAATTTTTCTTGAGAAGGAGTTAATGTTACATTTGTTGGAATTTTTTGCTCCATATACAGCGGTTGGGAAAAGTCCGTATATGAAAGAAAATCTGGAGTATTAAGCGGCGTTGGGGGAAGGTTTGATAGGTTCATATCTTTGCAAACGTACTCGAAAAGCTCCTTGAATTCATTTACTCGTACACCTTCTTCTGCCATCTTAGCGTCAACCATCTTATGATAAATGTGCGATAAGACTTGCATCTGTTCGTCTAATCTACATGTATCACCTTCATCTTCTGATTTTTGACTTTTCGCTAGATAGTCGTCTATTATTTTGCTGCCAACCAGTTTTCCCAATATAGAGAAATTTAGCCCCGGTTGGTTACTATATACTTCTAACATTCTTCCACTTGAAGGATGCCAAGCACTTGCAACAAATTCATTACGGCCTTCATCTGCTTGATTGATACAAAAAGTTTGGTTAAGTTCTTGTGAACCCTCTGAGGGAATGAGAGACTGGATTTTCTTAGGAATTTGAAAGTCATACACAGAATTTATTACACTCACAGCCTTTTCGGTGGGAATTCCATCTTTTCCATTGGGGAAAAAATTCTTTGCGTTGATGAATACTCTGTGTTTCTTCAAATGTTCTGGTCCGCTGCCGTGACCGCACAGATTGAAGTAAATGTTATTTGAAATATTAACAATCGTTGGTTTGTCAGTAATAGCTTCAACATCAACATTAAATTCATTTTTGGGTGTTAACTCAAAAGTAATTTTAACAAACAGATTGCCAGGATAGCCTTGCTCCATGTCTTGGAAAATGTAACTCATTATTACCTTTGAATCTTGCACATACGATTTCCAAATTGTTTTATCAAATCCAAATGGATCTCCCTCTGCTACGTAACTCTTTCTATCCATGAGCTGAAGCGAATAAGGAATTTCATTAATTAATAATGGCTCATTTCGTATTTTGGTGCACATTCTGCCCAACGTTGCTCCAATCTTGTGATGCTTGTAGTAAGTGTAACTGCTAAGGTCGTCGTATCCAATAACAATATCCTGAACGGTTCCATCCAAACTTGGTAATTTAATTGAAACTACACGTGCCCCATAGTTGATCAGCTGAACTTGGATATTGTTATGATTTTTCCAAGTAAATCGCCTTATGCAACAACGATTACCACAATTATCATAAAACGAATCAAAGTAATCTTCTGTTAATATCAGATTTCCATTTTCAACATGCGTTATGGTAGGAAATGGAGTGATCGTGGGATAACATAGCATAGAAGTTTTTCTCTTCTGCTTCTTCTTCTTCTTCTTGGTTTTCTTTTTCGCCTTATGCATACTCAACTTGATTGATGACCAACAAGCAATTTGGAATTTTGATAAAATAAAAATAATAATACAAACGTCAACTAAATGTCAAATCATATTTTAGATTGTCGAAGAAAAAGTTGAAGAGGCATCAACGTACAATGTCACAGCGTGTTGCGTTGAAGCTCAGTTGAATTCCGTCTGTCTCCCGCTTTGTTCGTACGATGCCAATATGAGCGATATTAAGGCCCTTGCTGGAGTTTGCAGTGAAGAATTTCACAAAATATTAAAGTGCGGAGCTGGGGGCCGAAATCACGGATCCTGTTGTACCAGGAGGGGTGTTCCCCATTCCTGCTTGCCTCTGTGTGCCGGCGTTATAGCTGACAATCTCATACTCACTGCGACCACGTGCATTCCCTTTATTGGCAACATTGCCCAATGTTTCGAAGAAGGTAATTTTAAGAACCGGAAACATTCGCGTATCAACGTATGTTCATTTGAACAGTGTAGAAATTTTAGAGAGCTTCTCCTAAAATTGGTACAAGTAGAAATTGTTACAGGTACAGATTTGCTTCCTGGGCCAATTAAAGAACTCCATGCTACAGTAACAGGTGACGACGTTATCGAATTGGAATGGGAGGGCCCAAATGATGGTAGTAATGTTACTGATTACGTTGTCCATTACAGAAAAACTGATAATACATCATTGCATGAGACGCCACTAAAATTAGAAAATGTAAGCATGTATGTTACAATCTACTCTGACCTTCAAAATATTTTTTTTTTCGATAGCAACTAAACGTTACCGAAACATTTGCCACCCTAACGGATTTGGAAGAAGGTGCCTTGTACCAAATATTTGTTGTGTCTAAAAATCAACACGGTACTTCGTTACCTTCGTCTACCATTCTCATAAACGTTACCTACAATGGTACTTATTACATTAATAAGTAATTTTGTGTCGTTTATAACTCCAAATTTGTAAATTTTTAGACGAAAAGTCTGTTTCCGCCGTAACATCGCCACCCCACGCACTCGCTGTAGCCACTCACAGTGCCACATGGGTTACAATCACATGGCAACCTCCCTACTTCAGCCATCCCACTGAGCAAGTCTCTTACATGTATGTGTCCCAACGAAGTACCAATTCTTTGATCAGGTTAATAACCACCCTTTGTTACAGGGTTTATCATAAGTCCTCGTCAGATTCGAAGTACAGTATTTCAAACACAACTGTTACCTCGATTATGTTAAATGGATTGAGTCCGAACACTCAGTATATTGTTTACGTGACAGCAGTAACAAAGAAAGGAGAAAGTTTACCATCGGAAACGTTGATAGCATGGACCGATCCTGCATATCCGGCATATGTGGAGGTAACGCATGTCCTGGACTATTAAACGATTCGGTTTTGTATTATATGCCTTTTACAGCCACCCACTGTTCACCCAATAAATTTGGTAATGGAAGGTAGCAGCATGACGATCCTCTGTATCGCAATGGGCACCCCAATGCCAGTAATCTCCCTGTATATATCTGGAAGACTAGTCAGACAAGAAACTACCAGGCACATGGTAACGGTAATTCACAATGTGACCAGAGACATGGATCAGATATCTTGCTATGCTGACAATGGATATGGAACACCTATGCAAGCGTCCAAGAAGATAACCATCAGCCGTATGTTGTCCTCTAAATGGTAATAATTAGAGACAGATTATTAGCATTTTGTCTTTTCATTTTAGATGGACCTCACATACAAGCAAGTGGCATAACAATGGCAGCCATTGGAGATACGGTTACCTTGGAGTGTAAAGTTGATGCTCATCCGAAACCAAAGATGGTCTTTTGGCGTAATTATGATCAAAGGGAACCGGTGATACACGGTGGTAAATACGAGATAAAGACTAACCAAATAAAAGATGAGGAAGACAAGTATATCATGCAACTCACAATTCACAGCATCGGAGACGTTGATACCGGAGAGTACTTTTGTCATGCAGAAAATGCATTTGGAAGTGTAACTCAGCCAGTTTCGGTTCGAATACGTAACGTGGCAGCAACTCATAACGTCACTCAATGTTGCATTGAACAAAACGTTTCGTCGACATGTATGGTGGCATGTTCCTTCTACCTGGATATCGACTCTGTCATTGATAAACCCGAGTGCATCAATGATTTCGATAAACTTATGAAATGCGCAGCCGATGGTTCCGATCATAGAAGCTGCTGTACCCAGATGGGAGTTCCAAGAAGATGTCTCGATTGGTGTCGCGGAGAGCCCCTACTTAACAGCAGAGTTTGCGTCTTATCGTACACCAAAACAATAATGGGTTGTTTCCATGAAGGAAGGAATAAGCTGCCGGGACCTCCACAAAACGTCCGCGTTGAACATTTGGATGCCCATTCCGTCAAGGTGTCGTGGGATCCGCCAATCAAGAACCCACAAACCGTTGAAATGTATCGAGTAATATGGAGGGTTACCGATGGGGAATCACGAATCACCCATAAGAGTGACACCTCCGCTTCTGAATTCGTTATAGGTGGTTTACAAGACGGAGCCACTTATGAATGCTTCATCAAAGCTGGAAACCATAAAGGAACCTCCACATTGACGGAGCCTTTGAGATTTACCATGGGCGATAAGTATATAACCACATCGGCCAGTCAAGGAGGTGATTATTCGCATGTCGGGGTAGCTGTTGGTGTAGTACTAGCCTTAATTGTTGTTGGAGCCATTGTCGTGGCGACTCTGTGGCTCATGAGAAACAGAAAAATCTTCGCGAGAAAAACATCCAGTGGAGTTGCATTTGAAAATCCAAGTTATCTAAGAGAAATGAACATGGATCACGTACAGGTAAATAATTACAAATTGGAAACAATTCTGAAGAAGATCATAATGGACTAAATTTCATTTTTGTTATAGAATAACGGTGATGGATCTATTCCGAATGGTACGGCAAATGGAGGCATTGTTTCTGACGGCGAGCACGGTTGGAAGCACGAACCTTTACATGTACCAGCGCAAACGGAAGTCAATCCCACACTGTACGAAGAATTGAAGTTAGGCCAAAACGGTGCAGGATTTAAAAGACTGAAGCCATAGTATAAAGCTAACTTAAAAAACGGCGACGAGTCCAAATTTTGAATCCCTACCTAATTAACATTCCGTAATATGTGTGATATAAGTGAACGGTAGCTTGGACCATGGTGACTGGAAAGTAAATGTGATTTTCAGCGAACGTTAGTGGTATTTTGGAGAGTTTTATAAAATATTCTGAAACGGACGGCACTTAAGTACCATGCAATTTATTATTCCAAGTGTAATGGGCTCAAACACCTTTTACTTCGTGGGTATGCGTGTGTGTAAGTAGCAGGCACCATCTTCACTTATTTTTGACGGTGCTAGAGGATAACATTCCTTGTCCAATATTATCAATCCATTTGCAACGCAATGGAAGGAATCCTTATTTAAGTATTAGGTAAAGAAAAACAAAGCATGTTAACAAACAGTTGCATTTTTTTTTGCATATTTGTTCTGTAATATTTAGTTTTAAATTAAAAAAAAAGCAAATCCTTTCAAGTCTCTTATCGTATTTAATTGTTGAATAATCTAGCGCATGATGGACAATTACCTTGCGTTATCGTCACTTTTACATGCTAAATACTATAACATAACAATAATTACGGTGCAATTAGTACGTTTAATTATTGTCCATCAAACACCATCATAAAATATGTACATAATAGTTGTTTTCTAGTCATTTTGCTGTAATGGCTGTTGTTATTTTATTCATCCGTAGTAAGCAAATGAAAGCAAGTTGATGCTCTCCTAATAAAATATCTAATTTACCTTCTAATAGGACGAAGACGTAATTTGAATCTTTCTTATCCGTAAAAGTACTAATAAATATAGGTGTAATTTCTATTTTAGTAGTAGACGAGGTAATATATCACTGTGCCTTTATATTCACTACAGTAGAACATCAAAAATTAACATGGACGAAAAACAATATGTAGATCATTTTGTAAATATATGTTAATGTAAGTTTATAAATTATATGGAGTTTCCCAAAAAAAAAAACTCAAAATAAAAAACACCCGATCCTATGTTGTTTTGTGTTTGTTGCACTTAATGTTCCCCTTGGTGTTGAACGAAAATGGAAGGAGTTAATCAAAACACGTATTTAATTATATTAATCAACATTACGAAAACATGACACTGCTCAAGTAAAAGGTAATTATGATGTACGCTTTGATTTGTTATTATTTGGTGGAAAGTGCCTTTTTATCCAGGCTCTTGGATGTCCATCTTTGATCATAAATCTGTAGATGATCGTATGCCTGTACGTTTCTCCCGGTCGCAATATACAATTGGGAAAGTTGGGATGATGTACAGCGTTTGGATAATTTTGAGGTTTCAAACACAACGCGCAGTGATCTTTGTAAATTGCGTCGCCCTTTCCATGGATCCTGCCGTCCTTTCTATGGTCAGAAATGTCAGTAGGAGTTCTTACTGTATGTTCCTTTCTAATCTCAGTGAAATCAGATTCTCTTCTTTCGTTCGCTTCCATTAAAAATACTCCCATTCCTGAATAATCTCCTGCACTCGTCCGGGTTTGATCGTACTCATACTCCTCCTCCTCCTCCTCCTCTTCATCGTATTCGACTTCCGCTTGACTAACGATATCTCTCAGAACTTGACCGATTTCAAAATATTCAGTTTCACTTTGTATATCTTCTATAAGGGCTTCCATTTCTTTTAGATATCTCAACTGCATAGGTCTAAGAACGATATCAGGTCTTTTCTTCTTAACGCTTGCCTCTGATGAAAAGCTACCCAAAGACTCGCTTTGGATTGATGGTGGACCGTTAGGCACGTATTTCATTTTAAATCTCCTTATTAAATCTCTCAACTCGCAAAAATCGTAATCTGCGTCTAAAATCGAGACCTTCTTCATATGGTTGTAGAGCTTTTTTATTAGGTCTAGCTGATTTTCAAGACTGCTAGTGTATTTCTCTTCGCATATTTCACTTTCGGATTCATCAAGTAATCCTGTACCAAAATGATTTCCGGTATCGAAGTTGATGCCCCATTGATTACTATATACCTCTAACATCCTACCGCTCGGGGGATGTAAAACCCTGGCATTGAAACATAAATCTTGAGCTCTGCCTTTGTTTATGCAAAAGTTTTGATCGATACCTTCGTAATTATTCAATTCTTCTTTCATCAATTTAGGACTTTGATAGTCAAATTTGGAGTAAATTACATTCATTATATCTCCAGTAGGTAACCCATCTTCTTCGCTTGTAACTGTAAAGCAGTTTGCATTGATGGTAACCATATGCTTCATAATCTCGTCAGGTCCGCTCCAGTGGCCTCCCAGGTTAAAATACATAAGCTGGGATAGATCTATTATAGTGGGTCTCGTCGAGTATGCTTCCATATTAATTTTGAACTCACTGTCCTTCGTTAGTTCGTAGGTGATCCTTATCATAACATCTCCAGGATATCCTTCCTCTTTGTTCCGAGAAGTGTAGCTCAAAATGACTTTGGGTCCGCTAGTGTAAGGTTCCCATAGGACTTTATCGTAACCACGAAAACCGCCGTCTTTATGATGAATATCGTGATTTTTGGAAAGGAAATATTGTTTGCCATCTATCACAAAAGTTCCTAATTCGACCGTGTTACTTACTCTTCCAATTGTACCTCCTAACATAAGATCATCGTGATAGATATAAGAGGCCAAGTCATCGAAACCCAGAACAATGTCATCAACTACCCCTTTGCTGTCTGGATACTTGATAGAAGTTACTCTAGCGCCGTAGGTAATAATTTGTACAAAGACTTTGCTCATGTTTCTCCACGTGTACCTTTTAATATATGTTTGCTCGCCATTGTCCGTCAGATATATTCCAAAATAGTCCTCGGTCAATTGAACGTCTTTATCTTTGTAAAGTTCTTGCTTTTCTGGAGTTTTCTTAACTTCTGTCTGTTGCTTCGTTGCACTGGTGTTAGCGCTGTTTTTTATACTCGTTTTGGGGGAAATACTCATATTTAGGAAATATTTGATATGAATTATTATAATTTAGAAAATTTAGGAAGACGTAACAAAAATTTTCGAAATTTATAATTTTGACAGTAACAAAGGTTGTAAAAATTAAATGAAATATCTATAGTATTTTTTCATATTCTTTATTTTCTACCTCTGTATTACTATTTAACTGTTTTAAAATGAAGAAGAGTGCTCATGAAAAATTATTATCTATGCTCTTTTTGCGAAACTTCTGATTTTTTAAATTTATAGTGAGAAAGACATAGAAACATTACGGTCAATCAAAAAACAGTAGAACCAGGATATAATGTGAGGAAATTGATGAAAACTTGTTTAGACGTAAAACAATTGGTAGGAGATTCAAGAGTTACTCCAAATCGTGTTACATGTGGTTTCAAACTAATTTCGACCTATGTGGTTATAAGGTTTTCTTATATTTCGAGAATTTGGATATCAGATTTTGGATATTATCAATCTGTAATAAATATAAAGTAGATATGATTCTTCTTCTGCTCCAATCGCGTATTAATTAGAAGACGAAAAGAAATATATTGACTCTCATATTACACATCTTTTTGATAGTAAGGAAAGAAGTTTGAAATCTCAGATTGTGCCGTATCTAAAAGAAAAACTTCAGATTTCAAACACAAGTGGAGAGAAGGTTGGAAAACCATAATCTCCTGCGAGGAACTGACCAAAACACCCAATGCCAGACAGAATTATGAGACTATAGACAGGATAACTGTTCGCTTTTTGAATTTGTCGAAGACTTCCTAGTGTTAAGTACAGAAGGATAATATGGGACTGTTCCCCAGTTTCCATTTGTGGGTTGAGATTGGTTTTTGCTATTTTCTTCTTCTATCGCTTTTCATATTTCCGAACAAACACTTGTTGCTGCTAGTGAGTGGATAATATACACACCTCAAGTGGTCCTGACCTAGGACACGAAAACAAACTTATTGACGACGAACTGAAGAACCAAAAGGGGAACATCGTCGTGGTCACCGTGTCGATCTTTGTCGAGGTTCAATTCGCCGCTCAACAGTCGACGTCGACGTCGTCGTGCTTCTTTCCTCTACTTGGACATTTCCTGGCCGTGTTAGTTAGTGTTGCGTTAGATCAGCGATAGAACGAACGCAATCGTGGTGAGTTGTGGTTCGCAGCGAGAGAAAGACTCGCACTGGTCGTCAGTTCTCATTCCTCATACACGTGCGCGAGCAAAGGAAGAGAAGTACATACACGATGTGGATGCGTCTCGTTGCGCCAGTACTTGTGCTGCACTTCTTCGTTTCTTCGTTGTCTCCTTCTTCTATTTGACTTTACTGTTGTTGTTGTTGTTGTCGTTTGGCCGTTGTTGTCAGCGGTGGCACTTGGTAGTAATAGTTGTAGTAGTATATTATAGTAGTAGTTGACGCACAACACGCGATGAGCGCGGATTATAAAATAATTTGAATGCCGCGGGGCGGACGTACGGACCGGCGACGAAGATCCAACTGGAAAAAGTTGATGATTGAACGTTTCGAGAGATAAAAAAAACTGACTGTCTGTTGCAAGTGCAATTTACATAAGTTGACATTGTAATAGGAGATCATGTTGTTGGTGTTCCACTGCTAGGTTTGAAGACATCGATGTGTGATTTTTGGATTGTTCTTTATTTTATTGCTTTGCGCCAGGAGGAGAGGATATTTCCAGGAGACTGAGTAGGAAGGTAGTACCTAATTAATTGTAATTAATCTTATTTGATGTTTTCTTTACAAAAATCGTGTTTAAAATAGTGTATACTCATCTCATTTCCTCGTGTAGATAAACCGAGGTCGTTATTGATAAGACCATTGGGCATTGATATAAGATCTATCAGATTGTCTGTAAGAGCGTTGATGAATTATTTAATGCTAATGCGTGACCAGATTATGATAATGCATATTACGTAATATTCAATCTAAATTAGGACAGACAGGTCCAGATTAAATTAATGTTCACCAATAGTTAAGGACGTGGAATGTTCTAGTTTTAGGGAAGTACGAAGATTAGCTCGGGATAGGAAAGAATGAAGATGCGTGTCCAACCAGTCATAGAACTGATGGCCTCGATGATGATGATGATGATGATATGAATTGGGGCAATTTTTCTGTCTGCCTCCGATGAAAACTTTAATTGTTTGCATTGTTGTCGTGAATTTTTCTAATGACAAATATAAATGCTTCTTTTATTGGATTACATATTGTGGATTCCTTTATGAATGGAAGATAATTTTAAGTAGTATGAGGAGGTATGAGAAAAATTAGGAAAACAGAGGTCACTGTGGAAGTCAATAAAAAATGGGCGAGATAGTTGTTGGGACACCTTATCATGCATGAAGAGCTAGATAGAGACATATTAGAAACAGAATCAGGAATTAAGTGGAGTAGAGATAGAGTTAGATTAGATTAGTGTTCACAAATAGTTAAGGATGCGAGATGTTCCAATTTTACAAAAGTACTAAAATTACCTCAAGATAGCAAAGAGTAAAGGTGCGTGTCCAACCAGTCCAAAAACTAATGACCCCAAATACTGATGATGATTTCCATTGAGACTATTTTTCTGTCTCTTCCCAAAGAAAACTCTATTTGTTTACATTAACTACAGGTCATTGTAACAGTGAAATAATTAGTGTAATGACCTTAACTTAAATGCTCTTTTACTGGTTAACATTTTTGGGATTCCTTTACGAATGGAAATATATTTTAGTGGTATTATGCATGAACTTCAGAAAAGTGAAAGTATATTTTTAGTTCGATTTTCTTTCCAAAGTTGATTCCAAGCAGGAATTACGAATCTTACATGTATGATTGTGATACGTACATAAAAATTACATTGTAAGTATTCTATTTATATCGCATAAGCGAAAATCCACAGTGAGCACGTAGAATATGTCTCTTCAACCAGGTATATCAGGACATATCACCTGATTCTCTATTAACTAGCCTAAACTTTCCGTAATAAGCGTAATAATTCTCCAAGGTTATAAATTGCATTTATTGCACTTATGTTGCTTTATTGTTTATGAAGAGATAGCTAAAAATATTTCTACTAATTTTCCTATAAAAGATGATGCCATCCTCTGATGATTGCTACTACCTAATAGATCATCCCTGTGTTCCTCAGGGTTATGTCAAAACAAGCAGAGAAAACCGTATTTATTCTGTATCAAGCCAATGGGATGAAAAATGGGAAGTGACTTTAAAATTACTTCTTAATTAAGTAAGAGTTCTTATACTTGGTTGAATTCACTTTCCTTTTTTTGCAAGAAACGTACCGAAAAGCGACTTTTTCCGAAGTGAAATTTATTAATTTTTGCTTATACCATATTAATTATTGAGCTAAATGCATGAACGGTAGTAATTTATTTCATCTTATATATAATCTTCACTCGTTTGGTGTAGACTTCTACATACGTATTTAAATTTCACTTTCCCTGTATATAAATAGAATAGGATTAGTATGCCATTAAGGAAAGCTAAAAATTAAAAGTTTTGTAAAAATAACTGTGATAAACATAGTTATTTAAAAGACAGATGGTTTAATGTGATATACCTACTTAATGGTTCGCTTAGAAATTCGAAAAAGATTGTTAAAGATGTATGTTTGGAGCGCGGCGCTGTACGGGTGCTAAACATGGACGGAAGGCGCGGCGGAAAAGAAAAGGTTAGAAACTCGAAGAATTTCGAAATGAGGTGTTACAGACAAAGGTTAGAAATGAAGAGGTATTAGAAAAAATAGGAGAATGCCTTCTCAGGCATGAAGGTCTAGTCAGAGGTATTAGAGACAGAAACGGGAGATAGACTTAGTTAGATTGCTGTTCGCAAATAGTTAAGGATGTGGGTTGTTCTAGTTCTAGGGAAACACGAAGATTAGCTCAGAATAGGGTAGAGTGGAGGTGCGTGTCCAACTAGTCTTAGGACTGACGACCTTATGATGATGATGATGATGATGAAATTACTTAGCTACCTTAAAAAAATAATTTCTTCTAAACTCTCGGTGAATTATGAGGATACCATGGATAGAGAAGGTTAGAAAGGAGGAGATATTAGAAAGAATAGGAGAACAGAGGTAATGGTCATGGAAATCAATAAGAATTAGGCGAGATAGGTTGGTAAGACACCTTCGCATGCATGAAGGTCGAGGAAGACAGGAATTAAGAAGAGCACAGGTAGACCTAGATTATGTAACTGTTCGCAAATAGTTAATGGCATGAGACGTTATAGTTTTAGGGAATAGGAAAAGTGGGGATACGTGTCTAACCTGTCTTAAGACTGACGACCTCATGGTGATGAAACTCTCAGCAATCTGGTTATTATTATAATAATTGGGTTACTAACAATATCATATTTCTATAAATGGTACTAATTGTTGTTGTTGATTGCTATATAAACAACATATGGTGGTGACTCAAAGATTGTATTGTACATTGAAATGAGTAAATTTATTAACATCACCTGTTGAGTGAAGTAATTGTTTTATCTGTTTCTTTTTTGATTAAGAACACGCTGCTTATGGAGTTGAATTGTCGTGTCCCTCAAATTTAAATAGCATTAAATTGCATGCATAGTTTTAGTATGGTCTAGGTCTAGCATAATATCAATTTGTTCCAGTTAATAAACAAGTTTCTTATTAGCTCTAGAGTCCACAAAATTATAGTAAAAACGTTTTTGTTATTTAAATAGTAGAAATTTTAACATTTAATTGATAAACCTTGACAGAAAAGTCACGTAAATTAATGATTCGTGTTTTTTGTTTTATTCTATAATTGCTTTTGTTATAAACGATGGAAAAAGCGTTACTTAATTGTGTGCAAATTTACCTTAAAACCGTTTCTAAATTGCCTGACAATTATGGATTACAGTCCAAGGACATCTACACGTTTAGATACGTTGTTGTTATGTTTAGTTTGTTTGTAAATATTATAAAATTCATGCAAATGTGTGTAAAATATAAATTTTTATTTTACTTTCTTAAAAAAGAACATGGCAAATGTTTTGATAACCTCATGCTGTCCACAATGACATGAATGTAATTCTATAGTAGTTTATACTCTATAATCATTCCCTTGTTAGAAGTAGCCACTTTGACCCCGTTACACAAAATCCACAATTCTATAAAAACAAATGTTGAAATTTGTCGTCATAAAAACCTCATTTATTAACACAAATCAGTCAGATATGAAATAAATCGTCTTACAGCAATTAGTCTTATCACCAACAGAACATATTGCAAATCTAGTTATAGGTACTTCTCGTTTCTTTGGCTTCAGAGTTGCTGATCTAGTTGATAAAGTAGGCTTGTATTTCAATCAAAAACGAATTGAATCGAATCACTTATCATCGCAACTTCTCTTAAATGCAGGTCATAAATTCCCATCAATTAAATAATCTCCAGTTTCATCCTGAAATAATGCGGCGAGCAATTAAAATTCTTTATTGATGGATGTAATATTCGTGTTGTCCATGAAAACAGAAACTTAACGAACGTTCTACTAAACCATCTGTCATGTTATTTATTAATGAATTAAATTGTTACTTGCAGATATTTAAGTTTTATTCTGAAAATCATCTAAATTCAGCGGACGGTCAAGGATATGGGTCAAGTAGGTACCTTTGTGAGACTTTATCATCCATTATAAACTGTTGTAATTAGCAGCAAGTATCTCTGTTTGGTAAAATGAGGTTTGGGAGGACACCAGACTGATTCCGGGTCCACCTGCCTTATTCCTAGTTATAGTAATTTTTTTCTTGAATCATTTGGGCAAATTCTGCGTCGATAATATTCTAGTACTGAAGGGACATGGTCTAAATGAATGTTAAGTCTAGGTGTTTCATGGTCAACTGCGGCTGGTATCTTCAGTGGTATTGCGTTGATAACCTGTGCGAAGGTTATATCTGGAATTGTGTCAAAAGTTGCCAATACTTCGAGGTACAACCTTCGTCTAGGTTGTCAACGTGGTACCACTGAAGATGCCAGTCGCAGTTTCTCAAGAAACTTCTGGACCTAACAGTTCATTTAGACTATGCTCATTCAGCCCTAATCGTAACTCTTATATTATGTATTCATGATGTTAAAATTTCTTTTTTTCTTTAAGATAATACCTAAATAGGTAGTTTAAAACTTATTTCAACAAAACCGCAATTTTCGGTGGTAAACAAGGAAACTTTTGTAGATGCTTTGTTCTTTCTTTCCCATTACGCATAAAATTTGATTACATTTTACGGAAAATGACGTAACTAATTCGCTAACCAAACCAAAGCTAATATTTTTGGTCTCATAGCACAACTGAAATTAGCGGTTAGTGCTCGTTTTGTCATATTTTCCTGGTTCTTTTACTTTTCCTCCATTATCTCAGGACGTATAACTAGGAGCAATCAAGGACTTACGCACAATATAGTTGTCAATGAACATAGTATAAAACATTTTTTATTGTTTTTCAGCACAAGTCGAAGAATGTAATAAATCAATAACACAATGGCTTTTACTCATAGTGCCTATGTAGTCACTTACAGTCTGATAGTTTACAATGGTTATTGTTCATCGCTTTCAATGTCAAGTAAGAGCACGAAGGAATAATAATTATATAATTGATTTTCTGATTTATTGGGCGCTATTATTTCTATCGTTTATAGTCTAATAGTAAAATTAATATTCAACGTCATTTCCGAAATCCATTAAATTAATATT